TAATAGCTACACGGTCCATTAGTCACATGTGGCTATTTAAAAAGATTTAAATCAAATAAAATTAAAACCTGACTTCCTCAATCACGATATTCCTGGTACCACACTGGACAGTGCGAGTAGAGGATTCCAGAAAATTCTGGCAGCACTGATCTATCTTCGAAGGAAACTAGCTCTTACCCACTTTTTTGTTCCTTGCAAATACAGTCCATAGAGTAGAGGCAGGATAAATGCTTGCTTCTTTCCTTCTATCTACCAATTTTCAAAATAAGTTGATTCCCTAACACCTTCCAAAGGGCACCAGCGAGTTTCCTCCTTTCCTTTGAGCACCAATAGGAACCCTGGATTTTTTAATACCTTTGATGCTCCAACTCAGGGACTAATTCTCATTCACATTTACCTGCCCCACCCTTGGTGGGGTGGAGGGGGGGATTCCTTCTGACACAACCCTGGTACCATCTTATACAACTGGGACATTCCCAATGCAGATTTAGAATTAAAACATTTTCACTTAAGTATTTTGATCTTTTATTTGCATATGTCTTTCATCCTAAAAATTTTGGTTCTTTTTTTTTGGGGGGGGGGCATAGTTCCCCAACCAAGGATCAAACCCAGGCTCCCAGCAGTGGAAGTGTGGAGTCCTAACCAGTGGACCACCAAGGAATTCCCAATTTTGGTTCTTAAAGACATCAATTACTTGTTTTCTCCTACTATATATAACAGTAAGACTATGGGCATTGTTGACCTGAAACCAAAAATATGATTCCTAAAAACAGTTAAAGATTTTTTTCTAATTTTTGCCTTTATGGCATATCTCATATCTTACAATCAAACTACTATGATTTAGGGAATTCCCTGGTGGTCCAGTGGTTAGGACTCTGCAAGCTCACTGCCGAGGGCCTGGGTTCGATCCCTGGTCAAGGAACTAAGATCCCGCATGCCACATGGCATGGCCCCCCCCAAAAAAAGGAAAAATAAAATATAGGGCTTCCCTGGTGGCGCAGTGCTTAAGAATCCGCCTGCCAATGCAGGGTACAAGGGTTCGAGGCCCTGGTCCGGGAAGAACCCACGTGCCATGGAGCAACTAAGCCCGTGTGCCACAACTACTGAGCCTGTGCTCTAGAGCCCGCGTGCCACAACTACTGAGCCCGCATGCCACAACTACTGACACCGCATGCCACAACTACTGAAGCCTGTGCGCCTAGAGCCTGTGCTCCGCAACAAGAGAAGCCACTGCAATGAGAAGCCCGCGCACCTCAACAAAGAGTAGCCCCCACTCACCACAACTAGAGAAAGCCACAACTCGCCACAACTAGAGAAAGCCCGCGCGCAGTAACGATGACCCAACACAGCCAAAGATAAATAAAATAAATTTAAAAAAATAATAAAATAAAATATAAACAAATACACATCTCTATATCCCACCCCCACCATTCCTTATGAGGGATAAAAGTGAGTGCAGTACATCTCTTTATCCTTCACCTTATAATTTTTTCTACTCATTTCACCCTAGAAATCCCATCACCATGACAAGAAGACACCCCTCCTTCCTCTGCTCAGGGGCTCGGCTCCACCCCACTGGCGATCCAGCCCCATCAGTCCCAGGCCCAAATGACAAACATCTAAGTTATTTCCAGTTTTATACTTCAGAATGTTGTAATGAACAGTCTTGTCACAATCCTTATTTTTGACAGTCTATCTCTGGCATACATTTCTAGAAGTGGACTTGCTGGAGCAAAGGGTAAGCAAATCCCCCTCCGAGGAGTTGTGAACCTCCAAAAGCAACATATGGTGCTGCGTGATTCCCACCAAGAGAATGGTGTCCACCTTTCAGGACAAAGGGTCAGAAATATCTTAGGAAGGGCCTCCCTGGTGGCGCAGTGGTTGAGAGTCCGCCTGCCGATGCAGGGGATACGGGTTCGTGCCCCGGTACAGGAGGATCCCACATGCCGCGGAGCGGCTGGGCCCGTGAGCCATGGCCGCTGAGCTTGCGCGTCCGGCAATGGGAAAGGCCACGACAGTGAGAGGCCCACATATCGCAAAAAAAAGGAAAAAAAAAAAGAAATATCTTAGGAAAACTCCAAAGAGCATTATTCTTAGTATCAGAAAAGACTGAGTATCTTTTATGCCTTGGTTAAGGGTCATCTGCATTTGCTTTTCCTGTTTGTTTTTCTGTGAGTCACACCCATTTTTGATCCTTAACACCAAGCACAAGGCCAGTCTCTCAGCACGCGAGCAGTATACGTAGCTGCTGAACGAACAGGACCCGACAAGCAAAATTCAAGGGTGGACACCAATTCCATTAGCCCAAGCAGGCAGCCTGACCCTCAGTATTCACAATGACAGCCACATACACTGTGGGGGCATCGTGTGGGGGCTGTGTATGCGCCTCAAGACTCCCCAGGACCCAGCCCTCCTCCTGCCTTGCTCTTCCTCTGTGCCCGGAGTCCTGGG